CGCTTTGTTATGGCAGCCCTAGAACACGGAGGCAGAGCATAATGAGACCTGCCACCAGTGCCATCAAAGTGCCAGCCCAATGGTTGTGCCACCTCGGAAAGTGGGCCAAGTTCCAGCTCCAGGTGACAATGTGACCACAAATTTATAAGGGATCAGAACTGCCCAGCTAAGTTGCTCCTAAATTTCTGTCACAGAGAAACAAAGATGTTTATTTTAACCTACTAAATAGTTTGTCACACAGCAATAGATTACTAATACTGTAAGGATCTTAGGGGAAGGCCACACCTTGGAATTGGAATGAATGAATGAATGAACTTTTTTATTTTTAATTTATCTACTGTAGTCTAGAGGTTTGATAATGGTTTTATGACTTGTTCTGAATCATCGAGGTAAATTAGAGATCTACTAGGCTGAGATGGTAGGCTAGGAAAGTGGCACGCCTTACAAGTGGTTGGAAGATAGTTCTTCCAAGTCTGTGGAGCATGAACCCCAGCACCTCACCTGTGGGCCCTGCCTCTTCCTGTCCCTCCCAAGACCCCACTGCCCTGCGTTGGCCCTTCCGCCTGGCCACCAGCCTGCAAGTCCCAGCACTGGCTTCCCAGGCTTTTCCGGACTAGTGGATTCCAACAGTCTCAATCTCAATTAGATCCTAGAGGAAATATCAAAAAATACAAAACTACAGAGATTAGGATAATCAACTCTTAGTTCATGGCCAACCCTGTTCCATCATTTATATTCCTCTGGCTTTTCCCCTGTATTATTTTTTAAGCAAGTCTCAGACATTTCATCCATAAATATTTCAGCAAGTAGCACATCAAACTTAAAGTCATCAATAATTCCTTAATATTTTAAAGATCCAATCAGTTGTTTACATGTTTCTTGATTACCTTAGTTTAAAAAAATCATTTGTTTGTATCAGGATCCAAATAAGGTCCACACTATGAAGTTGATTTCTGTATCCGTTTGAATCTATAGCTTTCCCCTCTTCTTCATTTTTTTGCTATTTTTTTTTTTTTTGTCTTGCAGATTTACCCACAGTCTGGAGTTGGCCTATCACACCCATCCTCATGGAATGTGGTGTTTTCCACACGCTCCTCTGCCCCTGTATTTCTTGTAAATTGGTAGTCAGAGAAGCTTGAATTGGACTCAGGTTGTTTTGAAGCTGTACTTCTGAGGTGGGTGGCATTTCCATCAGAAGGCACACACCTCTGCCTCCTCCAGAGAGGCACCGCCGTCACTGCCTGGACCTGCAAGGTGACTGGGCAGAGCAGTGCCAGCAGTCTCTGTCATTCCTTTAGGTGCCTTAGGTGTAAGCACTGAGAACTCTGCTTGTTGGAACAGGCTATAAAACACAAACATGAGCTTGTGTGTGTGATTCGGTGCTCAGAGTGGACCACGTCCTCAGCTATTGCTTTGCGATCTCTGCCCAAAGAGCTGGCCGTGCTAATGGTTTATCTCCTCCACTACCTCCACCCATTAGTGAGAATGACCTTGAAATGTCTGGATGCTGTGCTCGTAAATGCAGTTCTGATTGAACCTCTGCCGCACAGCTCACTCACACACAACCTTGGGCAATTCTCCCAACCCCAAACTGCCTCATGTGTGGTGAACAGAGCTGAGAAGCCTATGCACAGGTTTTTATGGGGCCAAATGGGATAACTGCATGCAATGCTTATCAAGTGCTTTGCACCATGCCCGGCTCAATGATGGTCAATATCGTTATTATACATTAGAAATGAAATGCACTCAAACGGTGAAACCCATTAAATGCTTGAGAGCCTAAAGAGTTCGAAGAATTCCTACTGCTCTGTCTCCTGGGTAGGCCACTGGGAACATAACTCAATATGTGCTAATTTTAAATTAAATACTGTCTCTCCAGAAGAGCAGCCTTATGTCGGTGTGTGTGCTGAGGCTGCATTGTCCAAACAGGAAGCACAGTTCGTTGGAGGAAGGCACTGCTGTGCCCAGAGCAGGGCAGTGGTGCTGGGCTGGCAGAGGAACCAATAAAATCTTGTTGTGGGGCTGCCCTGCTGCTCTCTGATGGGGCCAGCTATGGAAGCAACCAGTCCCATGATTAAAAATGTTTTTTCCTAGAAAATCATCTGCAGTTAATGCCTAATCTAACAGTAAAAGTGACATTTATTGAACGTTTGCTCTGTGCCAGATGTGTTGCTCAGGTTATTTTATTCGATCCTCCTGACAGCCCTGCAGGCAGCATGGAAAGTGGCAAACCCAGATTGGACCCAGAGGGCCTGATGCTGGGGACCGTCCTCGGCGCAGCCCCAGACTCTGGCCGGGCTGCTGAATAGGCCGCCCACCCCACGGGGCGCTCCGGCTTTACAGCCTGTCTGGATGAGGAAGGAAGGGGCCCAGCGTCGGAGCGCTTTGTGAGCCTCATGCTTCTCACATGGGGGCTGAAGGCTGTTTTTCTTCTGTGCTTTCTTACGGTTGTACTGCAGGCCACCGCAGTCCCCATGTCCTCTCTCTTCTCCCCAGCACCCTCCACCTTCCAGAGCGGACAGAGAGAGTCATGGCCACCACAGGTGGGTGAGACCTGTGACAGCGCTGCAACTGAGGCACTACAGTGTCTTTAGGCACGAACGCTCTTAATTTGTGAATTCTTCCATTTGACAAAAATAAATAATAGGCTTTCCATATAGGACAAAATCACAAAATTAAGATGCTGGCAAAACAATTTAATATGAGAAACTTTCAGCTGGGGGTGTGTAGTGCGGCAAACGCCTGCCTTCCACCTGGCCCACAGGACTAGGGTGCTGAGGAGGAGGAGGAGAAAACGGATGTTTCAGTTCTGCTCAAGCTGTGATGGCTATGGCGACTGTGTGCGCTCAGTGCGGCTTACGAAGGGATGAAAACTCTCGTGGACTTAAAAATATCTGGCCACTCCCTGGCCCTGCCAAACCTGCCAGGCGCCCAGGATGGTGGGTGTGTGCGGGGCTCCAGAGCTCCAGAGCCGCGGCTGGGAACACGGGTGCCGGGACCGCAGCCCCGCTCCGGCGCAAGGGATCGGGAGACAGCTACATCCTGGGAAGCCGAGAAGCAGATGGGGGTGGCCAATAGTTGAGCAGAGAGGACAAAGCAAGGGGAGCCCTGAGCCCACAGCAAGGACAGCAAGAGCCCCCCCACCTGCAGCAGGCGCCCAGAGCCGGCGAGGCTGAGCACCTCTAGACAGCCGTGAGGGGCTTGCTTGGGTTAAAGTTGGTTGAGATGTCAGTCAGCTCTCCAGATGCCCCTCCTACGTGGCTCAAAACTAGAAGCTTTCTTTAATTTAAAAATGTAAAACAGAGGGTCTTTGGCCCAGAGTAAAGGTCAGAGTGCCGTCCTGGAGTGGAGGGGGCCTCCAGCCCTCCCCTCACTTCCTCCAACCACCCTGCAGGCAGGCGCTGGGAGCCAGCCTGGCAGGGCCCTGCGAGTCCCAGGCACCGACTCCAGTGGTTCCCACCCCAAAGGTCCAGCCAGATCATACCACACGGACCTGGCCCACACGCAGCCAGAGTTTCCCATCAGCTGTACCCCCACTCATGCTGTGAAGCCTCCTGCAGCACGTGCCTGTGTGCACCTCTAGCATGAAAGGTAACTAACGCAAACGAACAGGAGAAGCAATTCAGATGACCTTGAAAGGCAAGCTGAGCACAGGAAAGGCCACAGACCCTGCTGACTGGTCTCACCAGCTGTGGCCACCTGGGCCCTGATGCTGTTGGCCTATACTTCCAGCTGCTCTGGGCATCCAGAAGAACCCAGAGGAGAACATGTTTTCCTGAAACACCTCGGAACTCGTGAGAGATACGCTCCCCTGGAAACTACCGAACTGGAAGCTTGCCCAGCAGCCAGTCTTAACAGCCTCTCCCCGGCCATTTCTGAAGTGGCAGAGCTGAGCAACACTCACCCATCCCCGTTTCTCCTGGCAGTTCCAGGCTCCTCCTCCCCCTCCCCCTCTCCTCTCCCCTCCTCCTACACACCCCCTTCTCCTCCAACACCTTGTTCTCCCCTGCCCGAATGACAGCTGCTTCTGCACCCTCTTCGCTGGCCCTCCTCTTCTCCCACCTCTTCCGAGGTGGCTTGGCCCCAGGCTCCAACTTGGGATCCCTTCCTGTTCTGTTTACCCTCCTTCCATGGTAATCTCATCAGGTCTCATGACTTTTAAGTAACATTATAAACAAATGACTCCTGACAGCTCCATCCCAGATTTCTCTTTAAACTCCAGACCTGCCCATGTCTAGTAGTCGCCTCAAACTCAATACACTTAAAACTGGACCCTCCATCTCCTGCCTAGTCCCTTCCACCCACAGCCCCATGGCCAACTTCTAGAAGCCCCTGTCCTGCCGCCAGGCCCAATGCCATGCTGGAGCTATCTTGCCAGCACTTTCTTCCTCTCTGCCTCCTTGTCAGGAGACTGATGGCTCTGGCTCAAGATCTACCTAGAGTCCATCTCATCATCATGTGACCAGCACTGCATCTGGCGGATGATCCCAGGAAAGCCACAAGACTCTCTTGTACCGTGACAATTGGGGATAGGAGGGGACTCAGACCTGAAAAGATCTCCATGGGGCACTAACAAAGAAAGGGAAGAGGTACTGAGTGCAATGTAGAAGTGTGACCACATGCAAGAACCACCTGGGCCTGAGCCCTGACTGCCCCACCTATTAATACTGGCTGTGTGACCCAGTGAGTCCGTTGCGGTCTCAGTTTTAAGACAGTGATAGTAACAGTACCCTCCTCCCAGCGTTGCTATGAAGATAAAGGACCCGTCTCACAATGTAAGCTCAATATACATAGCCGTTATTGTTATCCAGGTTTCAGAAGGTGTCACTGGAATCCAAAAAGGATGCATGGACAGAAATCTTCAACTAGAGCATCATTACACGAGCAGCCGCCACATTTGCAGGTGAAGAATCAGATCTTCAGAAGAACAGTCACCACTGCTTCTAACCAATGCCGCTCTCAAACACAGAAATGGAAACAAAGGAAGATTCCACAAGTCATCATCACAAAACTGTCTTTTACTAACAAAACCAAAGAACTCCAAATACTTTTTGTGGACATCAACTTTTTTTCTTTAAATTTTAAACAGTGTTGTGCATCTTTAAAGTTTAGACACATTTTTGAAAAACACAGTTGTGGACACAAATCCTAGAAATGACTGGAGATGACCTGAAATCTTATTTCAAACACTTATTAACTATGAAACTGGCTTCTGTAAGTCTCTGTCCTGTGAAGTGCATGCCGTTTGTGCTTTGCCTTCAGGGGCTGGGAGCTGGAACTGCTGTCGCACAGCGGCCGGCGGACAAGGAAGTGGCCAATGCAGAGTCACACAGCAGCGCACCTGTTGGTATACAGTGGGTGAGTGGGACGGTGTCAACCTAGCTGGCCTCAAAAAAGCCTGTAAATAAAATCTCCTCCATTTATTCCACAGGTACTTTATCTTTCCCTCAGTGGGCCAGTCAGAAAGACAAGTATTTTCAAATGTGCATGTGAGTAAGTGCCTGGAAGACACCCAAATAACTAAGAGTTACCCTCGCTGCTGCTGGTCAAGACACTGGGCCTGACGGGGCCAGGGTCACCACTGTCCCCTCCCTGCTGAGGAGGGCTATCGTGGAGCCAGGGTGACTCCTATGCGGCCCCCCGACTGGCGGCCCCTGAGAAAGGACACAGGCAGAACCTCACCAGTGAGCTCTGTAGTGTGTATGGCTTTCCAATGAGGTGGGTGGGGAGGATGGGAACGTGTTGGGACAAGGTCTCTCAGCTGGCTCATGAGAGTGCACCCACGTTCACGTCATGGGGTGTGGGAGTCAGTTAAAATACAACTATGAGGATTTATACCCACGGAAGTCATTGATCTCCATGAGACAAAACAATCATGACTTGGAAGCAAAAATGTCTGCAATGCATTCAGAAGGCATCACTTAGAAACCGAAGGTCACGTGTTTCGGGTACCAGCCCCACAGAGAGCTGCACAGGGACGAGGAGGCTCATCTTTTCTACTGACGATCTTCTTTCTCCTTCACAAAAGGAGTGGGAACTAAGGCTGGTCCATTCTTAGGCAGGCCCCTGCAGACAAGGCTTAAGACCGTCAGAGCACCCTATATATTGTCCTTTATGACACACCCCTTAGCTCACAAGAGTATTTAGAAAGTCCTGGACCGCTTGTATCATGATGACAGAAACCCTTCTAAAACTGAAATCTACATGACAGAATCACTGAAGGCAAACTAATCCAAATTACTGCCCATATGTTTTAGATAAAAAATGTCAGACAGATAATACCCTGATTTTCTTGGTTAGATCATTATGTTTCCTCATATCTATAAATTCAGACTAGTACTTTTGACTTTACCACCCAAGAGTAGTCCAAAAAATATGAAATGTATTCACTCCAAATTTGTATTTGGACATTGACCAAAAGTCTGAAATAAACTTAGCTTTAGGGACATGGGTCCAATTGAGTATCTTTCTGTTTCCTACCCATCTGGAATTGTAGCCACTGTTCTTACAATAACATTTGCAATGTTGATAAAATTGAGGCACCGTTGGTTTTAATAACATACACCTGGGCAAACGCTCTAGCACTGCCAGCACTCAGTCACCAGGAGGCTTCCCTGCCGCTGCCCTTGGCACCCTGAAGTCTGCTCCCAGAAGGCGAGCTGCCTGGGACTGCAAGGGGCCTTTCAAACTTTACACAAAGTACCTGAAACCTCTGCTGAGAATGGGGACCCCAGTAGAGCCACAATGCCCCCTGGGGCTTCTTTAAAACACTAAGGTGAGCACAAAACCCAATGAGGAGGCTTGCAGCTATGGCCCCTCCACCCCTCCCACACCCCTCCACACACTTTCGGATCTGTGCCTCTCCTCAGTTCCTGGGGTCTTTCCTGCATGCTCGTCTGAAAGGTGCCCACAGAAAACGCTGACAACATGTCATCACTAGGCTCCGCTCCAGACAATCCTTCAAATACAGAAGAGACATCACCTGCCTGTTCCTTTGTCTGTCAACAAGAGACACCCCACTTTATACAGTAGGCACAGAAAAATGGCCACCGCCACCAGACACTCGTGCACAGCTGGCTCCGAGCTCCATGAGAAGGGCTTTCCGTGTCCAGAAACTTACACCTAGAGAAAACAAATGCTGAGAGACATGCAAACACTGCAGAGAAGCCAGATGTGAAGAAGTTGTATTTCACATAGGTGAGGAGACACTGTCACAAAATGCTAATGGGATGGTTTCTGTCACTCATGCTCTAACTTGAGGGTCTTTGCAACAAAAGGGGGCCTGTGAAGGTGCCTTATTTTTTCTCTCTCTTTCAGGGTTCACAGTTGTTTCTGTGTCAGGCACTAAGCAATCTGATGGCTTTTGGTCCAAACAGGTATTTTAGTTGTCTCTTTGCACCTTTTAATCCCTCTTTGAAGAGCCAAGTTCAAACGCTGGAAACTGTGCTGTCTCTGGTCTCAGGATGTCGGAGAGAAAGTGAATGGCGCCAGCCATGCCTGCAACAGAAAATGCAGATCCTTTAAGAATGACCTGGTGCTCTGGAGGGCAACGACCCAAACTAAGTGACTTCGAGTCATTTCCTTTACCAGGGGCTGTAAGAATATGGCGAAAGGTGCCGAGGACTTTAAAAATGACTTCATTAAAAAACCGTAGCATCCAGCGGGCAAAAATACCAGTTTTCTTCACTATCTTATTTTATTAAAACGTGGTTTCTGGGCTTTAATCTTGTATCTTGAAACTTTTAAGATTATACAGAATTGCTACCAAAAAGTTATGATGATAACTAATTATGTGTGGTATTCTAACACATAAAACTTCCCTTTCGGAGCTTTTATATTCTCATTCTAAACAAAAAAAATGCATTTTACACCTTCTTTACATTCAGACAATGTTATTTTTAATAAACATTAATTTATTTGGTCAAAATTCCTAGCCCACATCATCACAGTAATCAAAGCAGTGGGTTTCACCATGACTGACCCCGGACTTCTCAGGCGGGTGGGTGGGGAGGCGACTAGCCCACCAAGGCCTCCTCTCTCCCACCTAAATCTTCCCTTGCAGAGTTTTGGTTTGCATATGGTTTTTCTTTTGATGTAAAATTCACATATAATGAAACACACCAAGATGTACACATCTTAAGTGTACATCTCTGAGTTTTGACAACTGCATATACCTGTGTAAAACAAACCCCTATTAGGATCTGGAATGTTTCCACTCTCCAGGAAGCTCCGGTTGTCTCTCTCCAGCCCATCCTTACACTCTGTCCCCTCAGGGGCAACCGGCAATCTGGGTTTTAGTCCACCAGTGATTAGCTCTGCCTGTTTCAGAACTTCACATGAATGGGATCACAGTACGCAGCCTCTGTGTCTGGCTTTTCATTGATAATCTTGTGATTTGTTCAAGTATTGTGCGTGTCAGTGGCTGGTTCCTTCTTACTTTTGAGTAGTACCTCACAGACTGGTATCCCATTTTCCTACTGAAGGACATCTAGGTTGTTCTCAGGCTTCCCTATAAATTTTTGTTTGAAGAAAGGATTCCAGAAGTGTATTTAAAAAAATCTGAAAACCACTGACCTATTGGAACCTATTAGAAATAAACAGTGACCCCGAAGGGCTGCAGGAGGGTCCTGGAGGAGCCATGCTGGAATGACCTGTGTTGGTGTTGGGTGGTGGGCGGCAGATCCACTGGGCAGAGCACTTCAGCAGGAGTGAGCTCCTCTAGAAGGGTCACAGGTGTCAGTGGCCCCTCAGGCCTGGTGGCCTGTTACAGTGGCTGACATTGGTAGGCATATACATAACGATCTCTCAGCCCATCTGACGAGAACCTGGTTAGCACCTCCTGCTAGTTCTGTCTGCCGGGCACTGGACAGGCACAGGGGGAAGAGAGATGACCTGTCAACTATCCGGCCTTCAGGGAGTTGTACATTCAAAGATCCCAAATCTGCTGGGACTTTGAAGTTGCTGTTATAAACTTGAATGAACTCCATTTAGAGTGCAGACATTAACTGTATTATGTCTGGTGCAAATACACTGCATTTTTATAACCCAAAAAACTAAAATTTTTATTCAGAGGAAATTTTCCTTATGATTTCTTAGATATTAAAAAGATCATATTCTGCAAAAGATCACAGATAATTCAGATATCAAAAGGATAATAAAGGAATACTTTAGCTTTACACACATAAATTTGACATCCTAGATGAAATGGACCAATTTCTCAAAAATTCCAAACAATTAAAGCACACACACACCCAGTATGAAACCAATAACTTGAATAGCTCTATTAAAGAAACTGAATTTGTTTAATAACTCCAGAAAAATTTACAGGCCCAGAAGTTTTTACTGGAGACCTCTACCAAATACTTAAATTAGATTAATACCAATTCTTCCACGAATTAATGCATAGTCTATCCCAGAAAACAAGAGAGAAGAGGGTACTTCTCAATACAGTTTATCAGGTCAGTATTAACTTGATACCAAAACCAGACAAAGAATGGGTCAGTATCCTTCATGAATATAGATGTAAAAATCTTTAACAAAATATCAGCAAATAGAATTCTGCAATATATAAGAAGAATTGTGCACATGACCAAGTGAGGTTTACTCCAGAGATATAAGACTGGCTTAAAATTTGAAAATCAATCAATGTAATACACAATATTAATAGGCTAAAGAAGAAAAAAAATCACACGATCTTATCAATTGATGTAGAAAAAGCATGACAAATTCAATGCCCAACTATTATTTGATTTTTTAAAATTTTTTCTTTTAAATTTTTATTTCTTTTACCATCTATTGGACTCTGCTTGATATAATATTTGATTTTTAAAAAACATTATTCAATCCTTTATTTATTCTGAAGTTTATTTGGGATAGGTATAAGATGTAGTTCTAAAGTAATTAAGTTATCATGAATTTATCCCAACACCATTAAACCTTTGCCCTTTGATCTCTGCAGCTTACATTATAAATCATCCAGTTCTCTCTCTTTCACACTCGACTCAAGTTACAGAACCTCTGCTCTGTTTCCCTGCACTGTGTTCTCTCTGCCTGCAGCCTGTCAGCCGCCCACCGCTGCTCTTGATCAGAACACCCTCCTGCATTTACGCATGCTGTTTTCCTAACTGCTAGTATTTCTAATTGTTAATGCTATCATACTTCTTTATGTAAGTGATTAAACCCATTCAAATGTATTTAACTGCTTGAGCTTCCTGTGTGGCCCGGGTGACACACGGCGCTTACTTCTGCCCTCGCTGCACAGCGAGACTTCCGCGTTCTCTCTGCGCATGTGTTTCACAAAAGGTCCAAGAACACTCGGAGACATTCACATGAGCAAAACACAGGTAAGGGAAAGAGACTCAATGTAATTTTCATCAATAAACTAATTTGTTCACTGCTATTTTCCTCATCCAGTTTTGAAGTTATTACTCAAGCAAGGTCAGACGTAACAGTGCCAGTCCACAGAGGAAGGAGGCCCGATTTCATTCACCCAGATGTTTAAATCTGGAGTTTTCTTCTCACTCTTACCTTCAAAGAGGGAGTAGGGTCTGTCAGGAATGCGGCACCCATGTGCTCCATAATCTAGACACCACTCTGCAAACTAAAAAGAAAGGCATTCCTTTTTAGGCTGGGTGAAAAGGCAATGGGACTGTGACAAATTCCCCATGAATGGGGGTGGACTCCTGGCAGCACGGCGCTCACCTCCACACCCTCCTCCCGGCTGAGGCCGGCTGAGGCCGGCCAACTCCGGGGAAGATGGAGACAGCTGCAACAACCCAACCACATGCTGTGCTTTCTGTCACCTGCCTCCCACCCCTTGGGGGATGATTCCAGAATTAATTGGAAGCACTTGCTCTATCACAAATAAAATTCCTGGACCTGCAACTGCCCTCAGGACCAGCTGCTGCTCTCAGGTCTTCTCCACCCTCCTTGGGAAACGTCCTCTCGGGACACAGTCTGCGCCGTCTCACCACCGTCTGGCCTCAGCTCTCCCAGCGCTGTCCTTTGAGCAGCTCCTGACCTGTTCTCAGACCTCGTCAGTAGGTGTTTCTATATCATTATAATAAACATCCCTTTTTTGTCTAAGCTAACACAATTTTTTTCATCATTTGTATACTAAGAATCATAAGTAATAAACACGATGAATATCAAATGCAGCACATGGAAGATAAAACTTACTCTGCTTTTGCCCTCCAATTCTGCTCACTCTTAGTGTGTTTGATACGCCATCTACCTGGTTTTCTGAGTCGGAAAACATACATTCAGATATTTCCATCTTCTCCACACTAAAAAAATGCACTAAATTCTGTGGATCCTACATGCTAAATGTTTTCAAATCTCCCCTTCGGTTATCCCAGCCAATGCCTTGGTTTAGGACTCAACATTTCTTGCATTAATTATTACGCCACCATTTGGGGAAACCCAAGCCCTGCCTCATCCTTCCCACTGGACCACAGCAGTCTTTCTGAAAGAGTGGTCTGAATGTGGGTTACAAATCCTCATATGAACCACACCTTCCAAATCAGTATTCAATGCTGGCTGAGGGCCAAAATCACCAGGGGAGCTCGACAAACACTGGTGTCTGAGCTCCCTCACGGAATCGGTCTAGAGCGGGGTTCAGGCATCATTTGAGAGCTCCCCAGTGGTTTGGAGGTTAATCAAGGTTGACAACTACTGACGACGGGAAGGACTGACTTTCTTCAGCCTCCGCCCCCCTGCCTGACTTCACCTTTTCCCATATGTTTCCTTCCCTCCGCATCCCCAGTAATGAGATGCTCAGAGTTCCAGGAAGACACTGGGCCTTTCCAAGGCTCTGCCTGAGCGACTCTCCCTACCAGGAACAGATTCCACCTCCCTGGGCCACCACTTCCGGGTCCCCCTCAAAGCTCTTCATCTTTAAAAAAGCAGCTGTGTCTCAATCCTCATAAAGTCTTACACTCCCCATGTTTACTCAACCGTGCACAGCCGTGATCACTACCAGGGTTGACTGGAGCCTTCGGAGCCCAGCGGTCTCCCCCAACCCCTCCCATCTCCTGTTATGCCCCTTCCACCTGCTCCAGCCAAGGTAAACCTCAGACGGCTCCCTTGGGCGCCCGTGCCTGATGGCCTTTGGACAAGCAGTTTCCTCTCCTGTTATTGTAACATCTTTCCTCAACCTCCTTTGCTTAATTCCTAGCTGTCCTTAAGGTCTTGGCCTAGATGTCACATCTTGACCACTCAGGAGAGGGTGGGAGCCTGCCCTCTTTATATGCTCCACAGCCTCCTGCACAGACACGTGCATGCCCAGGGCACCATCAAGGAGGCATCCATTCTGTTTAGGTTGAGGAAAAGCTTCGTAATTGTAACAGGTGTTCACTGTCCGCAAAGTAGATAGACTAAGTCAGCCAAACTGCCTCCATCTATCAAGGGTCCACTGCAAACATTTTGGTATATTTTCTTCCAATCTTTTTTCTGTGTGCATATAACTACACTTTGTGGAATATGTATAGTAATAACAATACTTATAAACATTCACCAGGTCTTGCTTTGTGCCGTTCATTGTAAATATTTCAACGTGCATTTACTAAGTTTCTACTTGGTGCCATATGCCATTCTGGGTACTAATGTAGAATAGTGGCCTAGACAAGTAAGATTATGGTGCTTATATTCTGGAGCCATGTACTTGTGAAACAAGCAAAAATACACAGCAAATAACTGAGTGATCATCCACCGGGGGGATCTCAAAGGCCTCTAAGAACATCACACTTAAGCTAAGATGGGAATGGCAAGGCATCACCATGCAGATTTCAAGGAAAGAGCATTCCTGATGAAGGAAACAATTAATAACAGGTTCAACAGGAGCAAGCATGGCACAACCCATTCTTCAGAGAGAAGGGCCAGCGTGGCTGCAGTGTGGCAGGCTAGAAGGCGCAACAACATGGTGTAAAGGGGGTGGAGAAGCAAGCGAGGGTCAAGGCGTGGGCTCAGCAGCCTTGGGGCACTGTGTGAGTTTGCTATGGTACAGTGGGGACCACCAGAGGATTTTAAGCAAAGATGATGACAGATGATCTGCACATTAGCTCAATTAATTCTTCTGGGAACATCCTTAGGAGGTGGATGCCATTTTTTTTTTCTTTTTTCACCAATGAGGACACTGAGACTTGAAGAAGAAACATACCCAAAGTCATAATGCTAATAAATAGTACCAGTGCCACTTCTAATCCGGTATTGTGACTCGAAGACAAGTGTTCTTTAAAAGTCATTTGCATTTGACATGTAATGACATGGCCATTTTACAGACAAAAATACATGGGACCAGAGACGCCAGGGACAAGGATGTGTCAGAAGAAACAGTAGAAAGCAGAGTTGGGAGAAACAGGTTAAAAGAAGGAAGAGGAACTGTAATTTTTGTATTTTGTGCATATTCTGGAGTGTTCAGAAGTGGCTCAGATAGAGATGCCCTCACCTTGCAAGCTCTGTAGAGGTACTTCTTATCCTGCGTGAGTTGGTAAAGGGACAGGAAGGAGTAGCCGTTACCAGCAGTCCCGTGGCAGATCCCATAGCCCTTCCGCAGCAAACCGCGCTGCCAAATCACGTCACTGCACTCCATGGCCTCTTTCAAGTATTTCTCCTCCCTAAAAACCTGGGTGACGAAAACCAAAGCAATGTTAGTTAAAAAGACATTTTCAATGAAGAGCTGGCAAAATGCTTTCCCTTTCTGGTTAGAAAATTTACTGACATTAGAAAAATTGAAATAGCATGGAAGTAAAAACAAAACATGAACACGCTAACACCACCATGCACAGCACCTTGCAAGCTCAATCTGGCAGCCCATTCTCCTTGTTCTCCTCTTATTCCATGGTTTTGCAAAAGTACTTCTAAAGTTTAATTTACCATATTAAAATTAAAGCTACTACATCTCTTTGGCAAGATGTTTTGTCACAAACAAACCATCCCATGTTTCCTGGAACATATGTCTGGCAGCTCTAAGACTCATGCTCTTGTAAAAAGCAGTCAAGGGATCCATGACTCTGCAGTGTCCTGTTGCCAGGATGAGAATATCCAACATGCTGGGCCAGCCCACACGAAACAGCACCCCAAGGATCTTGCACTGCCGGGGTCAGCAAGATCTGTCACGATCCATCACAAGGACGCCTGCACAGAGCCTTCCAGTGTCTGGGAGTGGGCAGCCTGGACTGAAGACCCTAATGGTACCATCTCTACCACAAGGTATGCAGGACGGGGCAGGACAGGCTCAGTGCAGGCAGACAACTGGCAGGAGGAAGCTGTCTGTTTTCACGCCTCCAGACTCCCTTTAAGTACTCTTCTCTTTTCACATTTCATTTATTATTTCCCTGATCCCTTCCTTGGAAATGGTTCTTAGTAATCTCTACCTGCTAAACTCATTCCATTCTAGTGCAAGTGAGTTTTGGACAGTGAGTTAGAAGTGCAGAGGTCATCGCTGCTTGGGGGTGGCAAGCAGGATGCATCTAACTACGACTGTTGAGTAGTGACCCCTGTGCACTCAGCCGAGAAGGGATCCGAGCTGCAGAAAATGGGGCATAATAGAATGTCTTATGCTCTTTTGGGTAGATGCCCAACAATGCTATTGCTGGGTCGGATGGTATTTCTATGTCTAGCTGTTTGAGGTATCTCCAAATTCTTTTCCACAGAGGTCGCACTAATTTGCAGTCCCACTTGCACCCGAATGTTTATGGCAGCACAATTCACTATTGCAAGATCATGGAAACAACCCAAGTGTCCGTCAATTCATGAGTGCATAATTAAAATTTGGTATATGCTCACAATGGAATACTCTCAATTCTAAGAAATGATAGTGAGCTAGCACTGTTTATGCTATCCTGGATTAAGCTTAATAAGCCCCTTATCCAAAGTGAGGCAACATAATATCAAGAAAATGGGCTCCACATCTACTCGCCATCAAATTGGTACTGACTGATTAAAACTATGGTGCTCAAATGGTGGTAGTGTTCACCAGGGTTTGGGGGAGGGGGTGATACACATCTTAGGGTTGTGGTGAGCACTGTGTGTGGGGGGAGGGAATATCTCTAACCCCTCATAGGGAAAGGCAAAGATATACAATGTAGCCAAAAGGTCAACAAAAGGGGAAAAAAAAAAGCAAAACACAAAACTTTTATCGGGTGGTGGGCAGATGGGAGTGGGGAGGAGGGGAAGGATATATACTTACAAAATAGGTGTGATGCATACCACCTGGGGTTGGACACGCTTGATGCTTTGGCGAGGGGGGGCTGGGGGGGTGGAGGGGACGGGGCAGGGGGAGGAAAGGCAGTGGGGGGAATGGCAGGGGCAATATATATAACCCTAACAATATTTGTACCCCCATAATATGATAAAATAAAACAAACAAAAAAAGAAGATGGGGCATAAGGGGAAACAGAGGCATATTTAGGCTCCCAGAGTCAGAAGCAAGACCCCCTTTGTTAGTCACGAAAGCAGCTGAGACATGAGCTCTGAGGTCAGACTGCCTGAGTTTGAATCTCAGTTCTGTCACCTTTTAACTGTGTGACCTTGGACTAGTCACTTAATCTCTGTCTTAGTTTTCCCAACTATGAAAGGATACTATTTTTTCATCTCAGTGGCTTGTTGTGAGATTAAAGTGAGATACTATAGAAGTGGCTCTTGTCACCGTGCCTGGCACACAGTAAATGCTGCTGCTTCTTTGCTGTCATTAACTGGTGTTCTGTGCTATCATGCCAGCGCAGATACTTTATTTCATCCTGTCATTTGCATATTAAGCCTTTTAAAATTAAATGTAAAGGAAAACACTTTTTCTCATCCTAAAGAAATATTTGGTCAAAGCTAATAGGGGAAAAGATATTATTTTAGAGGCTGGGTCCTGAATCATATAAAGAAGGAGGCCAGCCCTAAAGCAAACCTGGTTTGCTCCTCACTGGTCATCAGGTTTCCTGCACACCATCCTCGCGCCCTGGCGAGAACGCGCTCGCTAGAGCCAGCCCTACGCTGCCCACACCGTCCCTGCGCCCTGGCGAGGATGCGCTCGCTAGAGCCAGCCCCACGCTGCCCACACCATCCCCACGCCCTGGCGAGGACCCTAGAGCCAGCCCCACGCTGCCCACACTGTCCCCAGCACCAGCAGCACCCGCCACATACACTCATGCTCTAAGTGAAGACATTTGAGAATTTAGGGTTGTAGAAAAAGCCCCAGACTCAATCACAGATTCATTCATCTCTGTGTTGCAGCAATCATAACTTGGCCAAAACATCCCTTTATTTATCCACAATGCCTCTCCCAAACAGTCAATTTCCCTGGGAAATGTCATGATAGAAAGTGTGGCGACAGTGCCTTGCGACGGATTGGACACGGCACAAGAAAACAATAATGAATATAAAGCTAGATAAATATAAATCATCTAATTTGAATTACAAAGGAAAAAAAGCCTCAGGGACCTACCTGTAGGGAAATAATGGCAGCTTTATGAAATGTAGTAAAAGACATGCACTTTCAAGTTCAAGAAGCTCAAAGGATTTCAAACATGATAGATACAAAGAAGTACATCTAGGCATATGAGAGTTAAACTACTGAAAACCAAAAATTTTAGTGGTTGCTATAGGGATTGCATACATCCTTAACTTTTCACAGTCTGCTTAGAGTTAACATTGTGTCGCTTCATGTAAAATGTTAGCAAACTATAATAGTAAGCACAGAGTTCTGTTCACTCCAGTTCTTGACATTATACCTGTCATATATATTAACTACAGATGTTGTTAACTACCACTCTAGTATGATAATTTTGATTTAAGTGACCCTGAGTATTTTAAAGAAATTAAGACAAAAAAAGAAATATATACAAATAGATACAGTTAAAGAGTCAACAAAGTTATTAAATGGGAAACCTAAAAAATATCCAAGTAATCTCTCCTACCTCCCTAAAAAAAGGCAGGAAAGAAAAAATGGAGGAATTAACCAAGATGTAACCAAAGAAACCACATTAAAAAATGGCAGAGGTAAATCAAACCAATGATACCAATAATTTTATTAAATATATATGAACTAAGCACTGCGATTATTACAACAGATGTAACACAAGCCCCACTATAAAGAAACATAAGACACTGACAGGTTGAAAGCAAAAGATGGAAAAAGACATATCATACAGTTATTATAAAATGCTGGAGTGGCTGTAATAATATCATACAAAGTAGACATCAAGACAAAGAATACTACCAAAGATAAAAAGGACATTTCATAATGATAAAGGGGCCTACTGATCAGGAAAACATAACAATCATAAATATGTATATGACAGAGCCTCAAAACACATGAAGCAAAAACTGACGAAATTAAGAAGAAAATGAATCCACAATAACAGGAGATTGAAAAACTGTACCTCCCCATAACTGAGTAAACAAACTGACATAACAAATTTGTATGGTGAATCTGTAAGGGTCAGCAAACTAGAAGCCTACAGAGCCTGATTTTATAAATAAAGTTTACTGGGAACATGGCCATGACCACTCATTCACATGTTGTCTATGTCTGTTTTTGTGCTACAATGACAGAACTGCATAGGTGCAATAGAGACCCATAAGGACCACAAGCCTAAAATATTTACTATGTGGGCCATTACAGAAAGCTTGCTGACCCCTGTAATAGAATACCTGAACAATACTTTCAACTATCTGACCTAACTGATATTTACAAAACACTATGCCTGACAACTAAAGAATACACATTCTACTCAAATGCACATGATACATTCACAAAGATAGACTAAATATTGGACCATAAAGTCCAAATAAATTTTAAAAGATCTAAATTATAGAGGATATGTTCTCTGACAACCATAGAATTAAATCAGAAATTAATAAAAATAAAATATATATAAAATTCTCAAATATCTGGAAAAACACAACACACTTCTAAATAACCCATGGATCAAAAGAGAAATCCTAAGGATAATTAGAAAATATTCCAAACTAAATTAAAATGAAAACAAAACATAAAATATTTGGGGATGGGGCTAAACTAGTGCTTAGAGGAAAATGTAAAGCTTTAAATATTTCTATTAGAAAAAAAGAAAGGTATAAAATTCAAATTCTACTTTAACAAGTTAGAAAGAAAAGAGCAAAGTAAATCTAAAGTTAGTAAAAGGAAGTTTTAAAGAGAAAATAAATCAATGAAATAGAAAACAGATAAAGACTTCAAAAAATTAACAAAGCTAAAATTTGTTTCTTTGAAAGATCAATAAAACTTTGATAGCCCATATTTTGGCTGATGAGAGACACAGAGACAAAGAGACGGAGAGGAAACATGTAAATTGCAAACATCAAGAATGAAAGAGAAACTATTACTACAGACCCTACAGACATTAAAAAGATAAGACAATATTATGAATAACATTGTGCCAAAAAGTTTGATGCTTTAGATGAAATGAGAAAATATTTTGAAAAATACAATTCATAAAATGAATTCTATTAAAGAAATTAAATTTGTAATAAAAATTTTTCCCACAACCAATTAAGTAAGAAATAATATCTATTGTACACAAAATTCTTCTGAAAATAAAAGGAGAGGCCGGGTGCTGTGGCTCACGCCTGTAATCCTAGCTCTTGGGAGGCCGAGGCGGGCGGATTGCTCAA